CCCCAAAACCCCAAAACCCCGAAGTGAAGCAATAAATGATATTTACAAATATGCATAATTATAAATAAATCAAATTAAAATAAGTTAGAGATGGATGCTCATTAGTTTGAACAAGAGGAAGTGCTGAGATAACTGTAATATCTATTGTTTGTTTATTGAATTTGATATAGTAATTTTGGAACCAGATGCGTCTAATCAGGCTCTTCCTAGAGTGAACCATTTGGATGTAAGATAAGAAAACAATATTGACTTTGATTACAGCTATTGCGACAATTGATTTTTCCACTCTATGGTGCAAGGTTGACACAAGACTGTCCACAAGCGGGAGACATTATTTGTACACCAGACTTGGCCATCCGACTAGAACCAGTCTTGAGGCTAAACTTTCTGCTATTGGCTAAGTTTAGTTCACTCTTTCAGCAAACGACATCTTAGCAATCTATTATAGTCTTTCACTCTTGTTTGTCGAAAATGACGAGATCATTATCCTAAGCACAAGAGAGCAATTCAAAAATATGATGCGAAGAATATTTGAAGGATAGCAAATGGGATTAAAACTCCATTATTCAACTAATACCGAAGATGCTTTAAATAAGATTACACCTCAATCTAAGCTAATTATTGCTGAAAGAGTGCAGCCTTCACCTGATGGTTTCAGTATCTTTGAACATAGCAAAGTCTACGAGGCATCAAAATCTAAGAATATCATATTTGCTCTTGACATGTCAAACTGTATTGGGGATATCAAGTAACTTCACAAGATTTCTGATGTCGATCTTCTTATTGCTGATCTGACTTATTTCAATGGCTGTGATGGGGTTAGAAATGGAGCAATGATGACTGATAGACAGGATTTGTATGAGAAAGTCAAAGTTAATGTGAATTCTATTGGTAATGTAACTCAGCCGATGGCAGCTTATTTGGCTAGTAGAGGTCTCAAAACCCTCAGCATCAGACTAGACTAGCAAGCCAAAAACGCTGAAGCTATAGTTGAGCAATTTCTAAAACCTAATGACATATAATCTCATTTATATGGAAATATGATACTCATTCCTTGCACTTTGGATAATGATTTGCTTAGTGAGTTAAAAGAGATTAGATTGAAATAAGGCAATAGCAATTTCAGTCATATTGAGAAAAGTGAAAGATATTTCGTTGTTCATGTTGGCATAGATGAATATGAAGATATAGCTAAGGAATTATTGACGATGATAAGTAAAATTTAATCAGCCAACGATCAGCAAAAGCTGTGAAGTTAAATCAATCAGAATCTTATTTATTTATTTTATTAGATATTCCTTTTAAATCAAATCTAAATCTAATTTATGGGGTTTTGGGGTTTTGGGGTTTTGGGGAGATCGGAAGAGCACACGTCT